AACTCTTTCTTCCACTGCTCTTGATTGTAATAGCTGAAACACCTCTCTCACGCCCCAAACGTCTTTACACTTTAGCTCTCTCTCTCTCTCCTCTCTCTCTCTCTCTCTCTCTCTATATATATATATATATATATATATATATATATATATATATATATATATATTAAATACGACAGAGAAGGTACTACGGCTAAACTTTTTATTTAATTGTTCTTGTGTTCTGACAAGAGCTTTCTTTTCTTGACAAAGGCTGTGTAAGAACTGTGCAAATGTTTTATATTTCCGAGCGCTTTCGGCTATACCTTTAGCCATTATCAAGGATGATTCGATTTTCAGCTTAGTTGAATGTATGCGTTCTGTGTATGTATCAGTGTGTGGTAGGGATGTTTTTAATTTCCGAATACGGTTAGCACATTGAGGCTTTGTTCATAGTTAATATTGTTAAGAATTGGCTTTTTCTTTTTATGATTAAAGCTTTCATTATTTTTAGTCTTTTTTTGCAGGTGGATGCAGTTAATATATTTGTGTTTTCTACTAGTATGTTTCTAATGGAGTCGGGTAAATCTATGTGTGTTTAAATGTGTTCTAATGGAGCTGTGATCAGATAGGTGTAAGGTAAGACGTCTGGATAAGCATGTGGTTGTGTAACCGATATAATTATTTATGAGTCCGGTTTGATCAGGAACACAGTTCCTTAAGGGGCATTTGAACTCATAGATAATGTTCGCTCTTTGTAATTTTGACTTAGTTGGTGTGTTGTTATTTTTGAGGATAAGGTTGGCTGTCTTAAATTTTTTATAATAGATAATTAATTTGATTTTTTTATTCGGATCAATTGGAGTAGTATATTTCTTTATAATAGGCCTTAGAGAAGATTCGTCTTGTTTGTAATTAATATGCATTTGGTTTTTGTAATAAATGTGTATGTGATTTTTGGCTGTGTGTTCGCTATCGTTATTATTTGTTGTTATATATATATATATATATATATATATGAGGTTAAATAAAAAAATACTCGTATTTTCGTCATAGCATATCTGTGTTGAGTTTTTACTTTCTCTGTGTTTATATATTATCTATTGCGTTAATACACGTGACACATATCTGACCAATAAAATTCCTAACATAGCAATACTTTGTGTCTGTTTGCTTTTTTCATTTCGATCTCTGATGAAGTGAAACATGTTAGATTTTGATACGTTTCCTACTTGCTCTTTATTTTATTTAATCAAGTCAGTTTTCTGTTCATATCTGATCAACATTTCACGTTTAACTCATTATATATATATATATATATATATATATATATATATATATATATATATATATAAAAATAACAAGTAGGAAACGTATCTCAATCAAACTTGTTTCAGCTTATTATCGATATAAATAAAAAAAACAATGAGACACTGATTATTGCTATATTATGAATTTTATTGGTCAGATACGTGTCACTTATTAACGCAATATATATATATATATATATATATATATATATATATATATATATATATATATATATACCAATTGTAACGACAGAATTTTTAATATCTAAAATAATACTAAACTAATTAAGTTTATTTTTCGAAAGTTTTTAGATTTAACGCTTAGCCATCTTGAAAACATTTCTCGTAAGAATCACTGAAAAAACTATTTGTGTTATCCAGCTAAAAAGAGAACAGGTTAAAATAGTTTTGTGTCCAAGCCACCCTCTTCCCAAATGAGCAATGGTGAGAGGAAAATATCATTTAGGCCTTCAGTAATGATACCAGAATATACATAATCTTCCATCTTCAAAATCCATTCAGGATCCATCAAAAGAACTGTGAATAAGTTTTAAAAAAGAGGAAAGAGCTGAGAGAAAACTACATCAGGAGGTAAGAACAAGAAGAGGGATCGTCATTTCAACTGACAGCTAAAGAGATCAATTGGAAAAGATACAATTCTATTCATAAGACAGTTGGCACGTGAGAAAGGAGTTTCATCTATGACAGTACAAGGAACAGTGAAAATCTACTTGAAAATTTAATCGTTCGTGAAAATTAGGAGGCAACTTGTTACTCCAGGACGGAAGATTAGAAGTTTAGAGAGGGCGAAGATCATCTTGAGTAAGTTGAAATATTACCAACGAATAATATATATATGTATATATATATATGAACTTTATTTCATATATATATATATATATATATATATATATATATATATATGAAGAAAAATGTGGAAAAAGAAAAATCCGAATGTGAAAATATGCTGTTTTAATGTTATTTCAATGTCGACGTCAGAAGTTTCGGTCTAGTAGACTTTCTTCAGGACATAGCTTATGAAACAATGTTAATTATGTTTTAAAACCTATGTCCTGAAGAAGGTCTACTAGACCGAAACGTCTGACGTTGACAGTGAAATAACATTAAAACAGCATATTTGCATATTCGGATTTTTGTTTTTCCACATATTTTTCTTCATATTGTCGGATCAATATCCATATATTTGCTTACAC